GGCGCCGATCCCGACCTGCGGCACCGATCCCGACCTGCAGCACCGATCCCGACCTGCAGCACCGATCCCGACCTGCGGCGCCGATCCCGACCTGCAGCACCAATCCCGACCTGAGGCACCGATCCTGACCTGCGGCGCCGATCCCGACCTGCGGCACCGATCCCGACCTGCGGCACCGATCCCGACCTGCGGCGCCGATCCCGATCCGCAGCACCAATCCCGACCTGTGGCACCAATCCCAATCCTGCGGTGCTGATCCCGACCTGCGGCGCCAATTCCAATCCCGCGGCGCCGATCCCGATCCTGCGGCACCAACTCCAATCCTGCAACGCCGATCCCGATCCGCAGCACCAATCCCAACCTGCGGCACCAATTCCAATCCTGCGGCGCCGATCCGGGCCCTGTGGCACCAATTCCAATCCTGCAATGCCGATCCCGATCCGCGGCACCAATCCCGACCTGCGGCACCAATTCCAATCCTGTGGTGCCGATCCCAACCTGTGGCGCCGATCTCAACCTGCGGCACCAATTCCAATCCTGCGGCGCCAATCCCGACCTGCGGCACCAATTCCAATCCTGCGGTGCCGATCCCGATCCTGCGGCGCTGATCCGGGCCCTGCGGCACCAATTCCAATCCTGCAGCACCGATCCCAACCTGTGGCATTGATCCCGATCTCACAGCACAGATCCCAACCCGCAACACTAATCCTGACCTGCTGCACCGATCCAGCTCCATGGCGCTGATCCTGACTTGCGGCACCGATGCCGACCCGCGGCGCCAATTCCAATCCACAGCGCCAATTCCAATCCGCGGCACCGATCCCGACCCGCGGCACCGATCCTGACCCGTGGCATCGATCCCGACCCGCAGCACCAATTCCAATCCTGCGGCACCGATCCCGACCTGCGGCACTGATCCCGACCCGTGGCACCGATCCTGGCCTGCGGCACCAATTCCAATCCTGCGGCGCCAATCCCGACCTGCAGCACCAATCCCGATCCTGCAGCACAGATCCCGACCCGCGACACCGATCCTGACCTGCTGCACCGATCCAGCTCCATGGCGTCGATCCTGACTTGCGGCACCGATCCCAATCCGCGGCACCAATTCCAATCCTGCAGTGCCAATCCCGAGCTGTGGCACCGATCCCGACCTGCAGCACTGATCCCGACCTGCTGCACCGATCTAGATCCATGGCACCGATCCCAATCCCGCGGCAGCGAACCCGACCTGCCACACCGATTCCAGGGCATGGATCCCGATCCTGCAACACCAATCCTGATCCTGCTACACCCATTCCAATCCTGTGACACTGATCCTAATCCCGCAGCATCAATCCTGATCCCGTGGCACCGATTCCAACCTGCGGCACCAATCCAATCTCACGGCATCAATCCCGACCTGCAGCACTGATCCCATGGCACCGATCCCGACCTGTGGCATCGATCCCAATCCTGCAGCACCGATCCAGTCTCACGGCACCGATTCCGATCCTGCAGCACCGATCCAGTCTCACGGCACCGATCCCAATCCTGCAGCACCGATCCAGTCTCACGGCACCGATCCCAATCCTGCGGCACTGATCCAGTCTCACGGCACCGATCCCAATCCTGCAGCACCGATCCAGTCTCACGGCACCGATCCCAATCCTGCAGCACCGATCCAGTCTCACGGCACCGATCCCGATCCTGCAGCACTGATCCAGTCTCACGGCACCGATCCCGATCCTGCGGCACTGATCCAGTCTCACGGCACCGATCCCAATCCTGCAGCACCGATCCAGTCTCACGGCACCGATCCCGATCCTGCGGCACTGATCCAGTCTCACGGCACCGATCCCAATCCTGCGGCACTGATCCAGTCTCACGGCACCGATCCCAATCCTGCGGCACTGATCCAGTCTCACGGCACCGATCCCGATCCCTTGGCACCAATCCCGATCCTGTGGCGCCGATCCAGCCCCACGGCACCAATCCCAACCCGCGGTGCCGATCCCGGCCCACGGCACCGTTTGCTCTGCACCTTCCGCTCTCCAGAGCCCCTCGGAGCCCTTTCCAGCAGGCATCACATCCCGGGATGGGCAGTGGGAGCCACAGACCCAGGCCATGGGAAGGGAATATTGGCTAAAGGGAATAGCGCTCCTGGCCACGGGAAGGGAATATTCGCTAAAGGGAATATTCACTGAAGGGAATATTGCTCCAGGCAACGGGAAGGGAATATTGGCTAAAGGGAATACTGCTCCCAGCCATGGGAAGGGAATGTCACTCCCAGCACAGGAAGGGAATATTCCCTAAAGGGAATATCGCTCCAGGTCATGGGAAGGGAATGCCGCTCCCAGCCACGGGAAGGGAACATTCATTTAAGTATTAATACTGCTCCAGGTCATGGGAAGGGAAAACCATTCCCAGCCACGGGAAGGGAATATTCACTAAAGGGAATACTGCTCCAGGCAATGGGAAGGGAATGCAGCTCCCAGACATAGGAAAGGAATATTCACTAAAGGAAATATTCACTAAAGGGAACACTGCTCCAGGCCACGGGAAGGGAATGCCGCTCCCAGCCACGGGAAGGGGATATTTCCCGAAGGGAAGGGCGCTGCGGCGGCTCCGGCCGCAGCTCCGGGATGGGGAGCGGGGCCCCGCGGAGGCTCTGGGACAAAGGGAGCTGCCGGCCAAGGCTGGAGGCCGGCCCGGGCGCCGGGAACAACTGCGGGAGCAGCTGCTGGCGCCGGGGGGGCTGCGCTCCCGCGGGAACGCCATTCCCGGCGCGCTCCGGAGGCACGCGGAGCGCCGGGCGGGCAGGGAGCAGAGCCTGGGAGGACAGGGAACCCCGACGGGTGGCAGGGACCCCCGGGGACCCCCCGGTGCATTCCCTGCTCCACAGGGACACCCGGAGCACCCCGGCGCATCCCGGCGCGCTGGGAGACCTCCAGAGCAGGAGCCTCCGCAGCCCCCCCGGGCACCCGTTCCAGGGCTCGGGCACCCTCCCTCTCCGGACATTTTTCCTTAAGTTCCTGGGAACTCTGGGGGCTTCAGGTTGGGGCTGTTTCCTCTGGTCCTACCAGGAAGGAGCCTCTCCTGAGGAGCACTTCCCTTGGGAAGCTGCTCCTTATCCGAGCTTCTCCTTGGAGGCTCTTCCTCATCCGAACCTCTCCTTGAGAGCTCTTCCTTATCCCAGCCTCTCCTTGGATGCTCTTCCTCACCTGAACCTCTCCTTGGAGGCTTCCTCACTGAGCCTCTCCTTGGAAGCTCTTCCTTAACAGCGCTTCCCTTTGGAAGCTCTTCCTCACCCGAGCTTCTCCTTGGAAGCTCTTCCTCACCAAGCTTCTCCTTGGAAGCTCCTCCTTATCCGAGCCCTTCTTTGGAAGCACTTCCTCACCAAGCCTCTCCTTGGAAGCTCTACTTTAACAGCGCTTCCCTTTGGAAGCTCTTCCTCACCCGAGCTTCTCCTTGGAGGCTCCTCCTTATCCGAGCCCTTCTTTGGAAGCACTTCCTCACCAAGCCTCTCCTTGGAAGCTCTTCCTTAACAGCGCTTCCCTTTGGAAGCTCTTCCTCACCGAGCTTCTCCTTGGAGGCTCTTTCTCACTGAGCTTCTCCTTGGAAGCTCTTCCTCACCAAGCTTCTCCTTGGAAGCTCCTCCTTATCCGAGCCCTTCTTTGGAAGCTCTTCCTCACCCGAGCTTCTCCTTGGAGGCTCTTTCTCACTGAGCCTCTCCTGGGAAGCTCCTCCTTATCCCAGCCCTTCTTTGGAAGCTCCTCCTTGTCTGAGCTTCTCCTTGGAAGCTCTTCCTCACCCGAGCTTCTCCTTGGAGGCTCTTCCTCACGGGAAGCTCCTCCTTATCCGAGCCCTTCTTTGGAAGCCGCTCCTTACCCGAGCCGCTCCTTGCTCTCCTCCGGCGTCAGCTGGTCAAAGGTCTTGGCCTCGTCGGCGCCCAGGAAGGCGTCGTGGTCGTAGTCGAAGCTCTGCGCGTCGTCGTGCACCTTGTCGCTGAGCTGCGCCTCGTGGTGCACCCGCTCCTTCTTCTCCGTGGGCTTGCTCCACACGCAGGCCATGGAGAGGGACAGGCACAGGAGCAGCCGCCGGAGCGTCATGGTGATCCACAGGAACCTGCGGGATGAGACGGAGTTAAGAGCTTGGATGTGGAGGAGATGCAGGAAGGTCGTGGTGATGTGCAGGAACCCATGGGATGAGTTAAGAGCCTGGACATGGGAGGACATGCAGGAAGGTCATGGTGATGTGCAGGAACCCATGGGATGGGAGAGGGAGGTGAAGAGCTTGGACATGGGAGGAGATGCAGGAAGGTCATGGTGATCCAGAGGAACCCATGGGATGAGTTAAGAGCCTGG